CTTGTTTGGGTACAGCCAGCACGTCACGACTTAAATCCAAGACCATATTTTGTTCTCATATCTACAGAGATACTCACAAGAACAACTCAGCAGACGAGAGTCCAAAAGTGGCAGGCTCAAACCCAGAACCTCAACCAATGGCTGATACCAAATGAGATACTCCCCCCTGGGCACACAGAAGACTGGGCGACTTGGAAGGCGCTGAACAGACTGTGCTCTGGCACCACGAGATGCAGAGCCAACCTCAGAAATGGGGCCACAAAGTGGAATCCACGACATGTGAGTGTGGAGAAGAGCAAACCACTGACCACCTGCTGCAATGCAACCTGAGCCCTGCCACATGCACAATGGAGGACCTTCTTGCGGCAACACCAGAGGCACTCCAAGTGGCCAGATACTGGTCAAAGGACATTTAATCCACTACCAAACTCACAAATTTTGTATTTTGTCTGTTTGTTTGCTTTGTTCTGTTAGAAATGTAGTACAATTGACTGGTTGCCCTGACACGACAAATAAATAACAGGAAAAAACAGCTGATTTCTAATCTGTCTGAAACACAGACGTGTGCTTTTCACCGTAAGAACAGACAAGCATCTTGAGCTCTGAGGATGACCTGGGAAGGAATCCCACTGGAGAATTGCAGCACATCCAAATACCTGCGAGTTACCCTGGACCGTGCTCTGACCTACAAGAAGCCCTGCTTGAATATCAAGCAAAAAGTGGGTGCTAGAAACAATATGATACGAAAGCTGATTGGCACAACCTGGGGATCACAACCAGACACAGTGATGGCATCTGCCCTTGCACTTTGCCACTCTGCTGCTGAGCACGCATGCCCAATGTGAAATGCCCACGCTAAAACAATAGATGTGGCTCTTAATAAGATGCCACAGGATTTCTATGCCCTACACCACTGGAGAAATTACACTGTTTCGCTGCTATTCACACATCCCTAATAACTAGGGTATGATCCTTCATCCCATGTTGATGATCATGATGCTCCATGCTGAGCTCCCTCCCTCCCTTTTCCATTCCCTCCTCGCTCACCTTCCACAGTTGTACAGGTCACAACAGAAACAGGTATTGGTTTTGATCTTCGGCATGCAGCTCGCGCCCGGTCGAGTGTTGCAGATCGCCTGAAGGAGTGGAAGGAAAAGAAGCTCATAGATATTCTTATTTATCTATCTATTTATTTATATTCCGCTTAATCTCGCCATACAGAAACTCAAGTGGCTCAAAATTAAAAGCATTACAATGTAAATTAAAATATACAATTAAAAAATAATAAAACAGTATATCATCATTTTATATTATCAGTAATATTATAATTCATATATTAGTATTATATTTATTATAATATTATTAATATTATATTTATATACAATATATTATATTATATTAGTATTATATATTATTAAATTGCACTATACAATTTAACTACAAGAGAGGAGATTCCATCTGAACATGAGGAAGAACTTCCTGACTGTGAGAGCTGTTCAGCAGTGGAACTCTCTGCCCCGGAGTGTGGTGGAGGCTCCTTCTTTGGAAGCTTTTAAACAGAGGCTGGATAGCCATCTGTCAGGGGTGATTTAAATGCAATATTCCTGCTTCTTGGCAGGGGGTTGGACTGGATGGCCCATGAGGTCTCTTCCAACTCTTTGATTCTATGATTCTATACTGCAATATTATTAGTAATATATATAATATATAATTATTATATTATTATATATTATTATATTGTACTATATTACTATACCACAACACATAGAATATATCACCAGTATCTAATACTATTAGTATTATATAATATATTGTACTATATCATAACTTGTAGTACATACAATATATAATATATTATATTACAACATTATTGATATTATATATAACATATTAGTGTTATTATATTACAATGTCATTATTTCTATATATTATTATTATAATACTTATTTACTGTATTATTATAAGTTTCTTATTTAACTCACTACACAGAGTATTATTTAGTTGTATCAGGCTTTGTTGTTTGGTTCAGTATGGTGATATGGCCTAAGGGTTGTTGTTGTTATTATTTATTGACACAAAAGCACAATATGTTACAGCGAACGAGATCTCTGTGTTGGATTTCGTATCACAAAATCACAAGTCAAACCCTTCCCAAGCGTCTAGGACTGTGTAATGTATTTTTGAATGATGCGCATGGATCCAAGTAAGGTGGATTTAAATTATTATTATTATTATTATTATTATTATTATTATTATTATTAGCATTTAATGTTGAGTTACAATGCAGTGCCACTTCAGAGTGCAACTAGGAGACCACTATGCATGAATGGAAATGAAATTGGATGAGTGAAGGTTGGATAAGCGAGACTCTACTGTGTATGTGTGTGTGTGTATATATATATATACACACACACACACACACACACACACACATGCACAGTAGAGTCTCGCTTATCCAACCTTCACTCATCCAATTTCTTTTCCATTCATGCATAGTTTTTGGGGGTTTTTTTTCCAACATACATACATATATATATGTGTGTGTGTGTGTGTGTGTGTGTGTGTGTGTGTTTGGTTCCAGGACTTGCAATGGATACCAACATCAAGTTATATGTGTCCTGTATAGAAAATAGTATGTTTTGGGGTTTTTTTTCCAACATATATATATGTTCCAACATATATATATATATTCCAACATATATATATTCCATTCCAACATATATATATATATATATATAATAATTAATAATCATACATAATATAGAATATATAATCATCTATAATCTATATGGTTGGACTGGCCTATATATATTTTGGCCCATCTTTTTGTATATATATATATATATATGTTGGAATGGAATATATATATGTTGGAATATATATATATATGTTGGAACATATATATATGTTGGAAAAAAAACCCCAAAACATACTATTTTCTATACAGGACACATATAACTTGATGTTGGTATCCATTGCAAGTCCTGGAACCAAACACACACACACACACACACACACACACACACACATATATATATGTATGTATGTTGGAAAAAAAACCCCCAAAAACTATGCATGAATGGAAAAGAAATTGGATGAGTGAAGGTTGGATAAGCGAGACTCTACTGTGCATGTGTGTGTGTGTGTGTGTGTGTGTGTGTGTATATATATATATACACACACACACATACACAGTAGAGTCTCGCTTATCCAACCTTCACTCATCCAATTTCATTTCCATTCATGCATAGTGGTCTCCTAGTTGCATATATATATATATGTTCCAACACATATATGTGTGTGTGTGTGTGTTGGAAAAAAACCCCCCAAAACATACTATTTTCTATACAGGACACATATAACTTGATGTTGGTATCCATTGCAAGTCCTGGAACCAAACACACACACACATATATGTGTGTGTGTGTGTGTTGGAAAAAAACCCCCCAAAACATACTATTTTCTATACAGGACACATATAACTTGATGTTGGTATCCATTGCAAGCCCTGGAACCAAACCAAGGACCTGGTGAAAACATTTTCCCAACTGTAGAAATCTAGTGCATAAGAATACGACTGCATTGAAACTCTTTACGTATGGAAAATAGATTTCCAAAGGATTGGAAAGGCCTGATGTCCTGGTAGGGAAAGCAGTGCTCTCTGATTCAGACTGTGTTGTGAAGAAAGGCAATTGCCTACCTCTGGCGAGGCTGTGCTTTTGGAGTAGTAGTGACACCGCCCTGCATACAGCGGCCGAAGATCCTGCGAGAAGGAAAGAACAACAACAGCCTTTTATAAGTCCCAGCACCAACAAGGACCACTCCTAGATTGATGCATTTGTTATGTTTACATTGCAACTTCCCTCTAATGAACGTCCCTCTTGCAAACATCACGACCCTCTTTGCAGTTGAGGGATTGGTGGAAACTCACCCATGCAACCCTTGCTTTTGAAGTTTACTCACTATGTGCCTAGCTGCGAACACGCCATCCACAATGGCACAGCAGAAGGCGGCGATGACACCAAAACTGATGAAGACAATTGAAGCAACCAGCTGCAAAAGGAGGAGAAAAAAGAGGATGTTTCATGTTGCAAAATGTGTCGTCGTTAAGCGTGTCACAGGACAATACAACTCCACGTGTCAGAACCCAGACGTCTTTAAAGAACCAGACACAGGGGTAAACTCAAAACAACAGTGTATTAAGGCAACAAAAGGACTCAGAGACACATACTTCAGGGTCTCTGGTCAAAAAACTTAACTTGGAAAATAATCCGGATTAAATTAACATATAATCTGGGATAAGCAAAAGTTCAAGCAAAATGCCCCCAAATCACACAGTTCAAAGTAGGCAAACAAACAAAGAGCCGTGAAGAAAAGCCATTGTCCAAAAGCAGTCCAAGGTCGAGAAAATTCCAGAAGAAGTATTCAGAGTCCAAAAGGCAGCGTCGTCATCAAAGCAATCCAAGATCGAAGAGAAGGGGAAATCCGCACTTATGAGAATCCAAGCCAGTTGATACACGGAGGAAACAGCAACCTGCAGTTCCAGGACCCAAGCCCAACAAGAGAAACGGCAGCGACAGGAGCCAAGGCACGAATCCAACACTTTGCCTTCTGCAAAGTTCCAAACTTTCAGTGCCTTCATGTAACCTACAACTCATCATCCGTTGATGAGCTGCCCTCTGCCCTTTTCTCATCACTGTCAGCTGTTTTACCTATTACCTATTTACCTATTACCTATTTACCCATCCCTCCAACTCTTCCACCTCTTGTCAAGACTTAGGTCTCCCCATGATTCCCTGGTATCACCAGACTGCCAATCCCCAGAGAACCCCTCAAACATATCACTGGATGTGGGTTGCATGCACACATTCCTGACTTCTTGCACTTGAGTCCAATCCAATGATTCCCCTTCGTCCTCACTACTCCCAGACCCATTACTTCCAGTAAAGTCCATAAAATCCTCCTCCTCAGTTGGAGCAGTAAGTATGTCACGGATCCGTTTCCTGTGACACTCCTTGTCTGACTCTTGCTCTCGAGTAGTCCTTTTTTACACCTCTACTCCCATCTCCCTCCTCCTCCATTTCACTTTCTGATAAGCCTTCGAAAGAGTCTTCATCTGTAGGTGACATGAATATTTCCCTGATTCTCTTTCTTTGTTGCTCTTCATCCAACACCTGAGCACCTCTCTTCCCTCCTCTGCTACTCCTACTATCAGCTGTAACATTGCCAGTAGACTCAACTGCAACATCACGCAAGACACCCTTCTGTGGTGCCCTAAAGCTGAGCTTTCCAAACGTAGGGCGGGAAAAAGCCGGACACAAATATGCATAATAATAATAATAATAATAATAATAATAATAATAATAATAATAATAATAATTTTTCATGTTGGTGACACGCTTTTTAGACATGCCTCCTTTTGCGACATGGTAATTGGGTTTTACTGCAAAACAGGAGGAAAAGAGAATGTTTCGTGTTGCGAAATGTGTTACCATTAAGCGAGTTACACGACAACAACACACCTCCATGCAACACACCATTCTGTGACGACCTACGCAGAGCTGGATACAAATATGCATAATAATAATAATAATAATAATAATAATAATAATTTTTCATGTTGGTGACACGCTTTTTAGACATGCCTCCTTTTGCGACATGGTAATTGGGTTTTACTGCAAAACAGGAGGAAAAGAGAATGTTTCGTGTTGCGAAATGTGTTACCATTAAGCGAGTTACACGACAACAACACACCTCCATGCAACACACCATTCTGTGACGACCTACGACAGAGCTTTCCAAACTTAGGGAAAAAGCAGGATACAAATAAGCATAATAATAATAATAATAATAATAATAATAATAATAATAATAATTTATGTTGGTGACACGCTTTTTAGACATGCCGCCTTTTGCAACACGGTAATTAGGTATTACTGCAAAACGGGAAAAGAGAATGTTTCATGTTGCGAAATGTGTCGGCGTTAAGCGTGTCACACAATAACAACACAACTCCACGCAAGGCGCCCTTCTGTGACGCCCTAAAGCAGAGCTTTCCAAACTTAGGGAGGGAAAAAGCAGGATACAAATAAGCATAATAATAATAATAATAATAATAATAATAATAATAATAATTTTTCGTGTTGGTGACACACTTTTTAGACATGGCTCTTTTCACGACACAGTAATTTGGTTTTACTGCAAACTGGAGGTTAAACCAAACTCTTATTAGCATTTCATACAATATATATCAGGCATGGACAAACTTTGGCCCTCCAGGTGTTTTGGACTTCAACTCCCACAATTCCTAACAGCCTACCGGCTGTTAGGAATTGTGGGAGTTGAAGTCCAAAACACCTGGAGGGCCAAAGTTTGCCCATGCCTGATATCTATGTATCTATGCACAAAGTGTTCCCCTCCCAAATTCTGGGGACACATCAATGTTGCTCTGACGACCTCCTGGAGGGAGTCACCAACCGTGGTGACTGCTGATGCGATGAAGACAAAGGAACCGGAACGTTGGGAAGACAACTGAGAACGTGCCGCGGAACGGAATGAGAAGGCCCTCATGTCCTTCCTGAAGCCTGGGCAACTGGCCATTGAGGAAAGCTACCATGACCCACATCCCAGCCCCATAGGCTGCCAGAGCCCTGTTGCTCCACCTACTTGACGTCTACCACAAGGTATGGGCAAATTACATGTATTATGTTGCCTTTTGGGCACAATGGGTGGGTTATAATTGGGGCGGGGAATGTCAGATCCTGGGGAACAAACTATGGTATCATCATTTGGTCGTTTCCCAGCCTTTGAGGTGGACTTCCTTCCTTCTAAAGGGTTGAGAAACCTGCCCTGTGGCCGCGTTGCAGGAAAGTAGAGCTTTTAGTCAAAATCTGTTGGCCTTTTTTGGTCCCACTCATCTGGCTTTAAGGTATTGTCGAAGCCTTTCGTGGCCAGAATCACCAGATTGTTGTAAGTTTTTCGGGCTGTATGGCCATGTGCTAGAAGCATTCTCTCCTGACGTTTTGCCTCCATCTGTGGCAGGCATCCTCAGAGGTTGTGAGGTCTGTTGGAAACTAGGAAAATTGGGTTTATATATCTGTGGAAAGTCCAGGGTGGGAGAAAGAACTCTTGTCTGTTGGAGGTAGGTGGTAGAACAAGGCCAAACAGCCTGAAAAACCTACAACAACCCATCTGGCTTTAGTTGAAAGAGGTTCTGGCAACAGTGGAGAAATGAAAAAAAGGGGACGATATGTGGCAATCTGGGTGAAATCCAAAAAACGTCAGTTGATGATATAGTCCAAGTTCTAGGCTCCTACGGGTTCTAAGTCATCGAGCCTCCTCCAAGAGTTTAGGACTTCTGCAATCCTTGACAATGAGCCACCATGTCTGTGTCTTGCTGGAGGTGGTCCAAAACACAGCAGCTGATATAGTCCAAGTTCTAGGCTCTTCCGGGTTCTAAGTCGTTGAGCCTCCCCCAAGAGTTTAGGAGTTCTGCAATCCTTGACCATGGGTCACCATGTCTGTGTCTTGCTGGAGGTGAAATCCAAAACACGGCAGTTGATATAGTCCAAGTTTTAGGCTTTTCCAGGTTATAAGACGTTGAGCCTTCCCCAAGAATTTTGGACTTCTGTAATCCTTGACCATGAGCCACCATGTCTGTGTCTCGCTGGAGGTGAAATCCACAACACAGCAGTTGACGATATAGTCCAAGTTCTAGGCTCATCCAGGTTCTAAGTTGTCGAGCCTCCTCCAAGAATTTAAGACTTCTGCAATCCTTAATCATGGGCCACCATGTCTGTGTCTTGCTAGAGGTGAAGTCCAAAACATGGCAGTTGATGATATAGTCCAAGTTCTAGGCTCTTCCAGGTTCTAAGTAGTCGAACCTCCTCCAAGAATTTTGGACTTCTGCAATCCTTGACCAAGGGCACCATGTCTGCGTCTTGCTTGGAGTTGAATCCAAAACACTTAGATGGAGAAAACCTGGCCTACGAAGATTTGAGATTCGAAGCAGGATGCAGCTAATCCAAAACAAAACAAGCCAAAAGCTTGTAAGGCAGATCTCTCCATCATTTTATAGGAAACCCAATAATGTTGAATGCACAAGTCCGGTGTACCTTGTGCTGGCTATATAAAGGTACAAGGTTCTCTGTCTGGGGTCAGTCTGAAATCAGACTCTCGTGGAGAAGGGACCCGGAATGGAACGCCAGGAGGTTGCAATATGATCCCAGTTGCACAGATCGCCGTGCAAGGGATTCGTGCAGGTCAAGTCGGCTGCAAACAAGAGAAAGCCTATTCATTTGCTGGCTTTCTATGCTGCTGAGGATCTGGCACAAAGTTACAACCCAGTAACACTGTTCCGTCCAGTCCAGGCATGGGCCAACTTGGGCCCTCCCTCCAGGTGTTTTGGACTCCAACTCCCACCATTCCTAACAGCCTCGGGTCCCTTCCTTTCCCCCCTCAGCCACTTAAGTCATTACTTACCATTTGCCTTTTATTCTCTATCAAGTTGGATCCAATAATTCCAAGAAACGACCCAAAACCGAGCTGAAAAGCAAAGATTTGGAAAGGAATTAAATCTAGATATGTACTTACCTCAGTAAGTAGTTAGCACAGAGAAGCCATTGAAATCCACAAGATACATGTGGACAATTTCAATAGAAAGATGAACAAAATCTGTCTCCTAGTATTAAAATATAGTAAATAGTAAATAAAGAGCAACACTCTGAAAACAGGGGAATTCCAGACAGGAAACAATCAGAGCCAACTAACACCTGCCAACAAAGGATTCCCCCAGACCAGAAGCAGCCAGGCTTTGAAGCTGCAAGGCCATTAAATGCTAATTAAGCTGGCTAATTGCAACATCAAGCAGACAAGGGTTCTTTCTCCCATCTTGGACATTACTCCACAAATCTGGAACACCTTTCGAGGCATCTCTAGATTCTCCAATGAACATCTTGGACATTACTCCCATCTTGGACATTACTCCTCACTTGCCTAGTTTCCAATATACTTCATATCCTCTGAGCATGCCTGCCAAAGATATGGGCAAAACATCAGGAGGGAATGCTTCTGGAACATGGGCCATACAGCCCAGAAAACTAGTAATCTATAAAGGACGTTGTAAGGCTGTAGGCCACCCATCTCAAAGAAGAAGCAAAAGCAAGTGAATGAGCAGACATCAGGACTGAAGGACATATTTGGAAACTTTGTATGGTCTTAAAGATGGACACAAGGTTCCCCAACCTAGTGAAGAAGAGTATACTTACAATAACACCTGGGTAGTACCCTCCGACAGAGACATTCTGGGTTCTTGTGGTAGCGGCCAAACCGACCGTGAGAATCAACAGAGACACAATGAGAAGGGTCACCGTGACGTAGAGGGAATTCTTTTTTCTTCTATTGAAGGACCCTAGAAAGACCAAAAAGAGCATGCTCATTCCATCAGCTAAGTAGCAAGATAGCTTCTAGGTATTTCAAGAATCTAGAGAATGCTCATTGAGGATCCAGTCTAGATTCTCCAATGCAATTCTGTGTTCAGCTTCTCCTGGAACTTGACATTGGAGAAAAAGATACAATGAAGGGGGAAATACAAAGAAATTATGTTGGAGGACCTAGAACACCTCTCTAGGTATCCCTAGATCCTCCAATGCAATTCCTTGTTTAGCTTCCACTGGAAGTTGACCATAGTCATGCTGGAGGGCATAGAACATCTCTCTAGCTATCTCTAGATCCTCCAGTGCAATTCTGTGTTCAGCTTCTACTGGACGTTGACTATGGAGACATGTTGGATGACCTAGAACACCTTTCTAGGCATCTCTAGATCCTCCAGTTAAATTCTGTGTTCAGCTTCCATTGGACATTGACTATGGAGACATCTGGAGGACCTAGAACACCTCTCTAGGTATCCCTAGATCCTCCAATGCAATTCTGTGTTCAGCTTCTACTGGACGTTGACCATAGTCATGCTGGAGGATGTAGAACACCTCTTTAGCTATCTCTAGATCCTCCAATGCAATTCTGTGTTCAGCTTCTACTGGATGTTGACTATAGAGACATGCTGGAGGATCTGGAACACCTTTCTAGGCATGTCTAGATTCTCCAATGAAATTCTGTGTTCAGCTTCCATTGGACGTTGACTATGGAGACATGCTGGAGGACCTAGAACACCTCTCTGGGTATCTCTAGATCCTCCAATGCAATTCTGTGTTCAGCTTCCACTGGACATTGACTATGGAGACATGCTGGAGGACCTAGAACATCTCTCTAGGTATCTCTAGATCCTCCAATATAATTCTGTGTTTAGCTTCTACTGGATGTTGACTATGCAGGCATGCTGGATGACCTAGAACATCTCTCTAGGTATCTCTAGATCCTCCAATACAATTCTGTGTTCAGCTTCCACTGGACGTTCACTATGGAGACATGCTGGAGGATCTAAAACACCTCTCTAGGTACCTCTAGATCTTCCATCTCCAGCAAAGGATCACCGCCTTGTCGGGGCGCTGGAGCTTGAGCACCTCAATGATGTCATGAGCGAAACCGTGAAGGGCCACCCAAGACGGGACGGTCGTGGCAGAGAGGTCAGACCAAGCGTGATCCCTGGGGAAGGCAATGGCAAACCACTCCAGTATCCTTGCCAAGAAAACTAAATGGACCAGTACAACCAGAGATATGTCGGTATGCCATTGGAAGATGGGACTCCCAGGTCGGAAGATGGCCAAAATGCTACTGGGGAGGAGCAGAGGATAAGTTCAACTAGCCCCAGATGTGATGATGCAGCTAGCTCAAAGCCGAAAGGAAGGCTAGCGGCCGACGGTACTGGAGGTGAACGACGAATCCGATGCTCTAAAGATCAACACACCATAGGAACCTGGAATGTAAGATCTATGAGCCAGGGCAAATTGGATGTTGTTATTGGTGAGATGTCAAGATTAAAGATAGACATTCTGGGGGTCAGCGAACTGAAATGGACTGGAATGGGCAACTTCACATCAGATGACCACCAGATCTACTACTGCGGACAAGAGGAACATCGAAGAAATGGAGTAGCCTTCATAATTAATAAGAAATTCGCTAAAGCGGTGCTTGGATACAACCCAAAAAATGACAGAATGATCTCAATTCGAGTGCAAGGAAAGCCTTTCAACATTACAGTGATCCAAATATACGCCCCAACCACAGCTGCTGAAGAAGCAGGAGTAGATCAGTTCTATGAGGATCTGCAGGACCTACTGGATAATACACCAAAAAGACATTATTTTCATTACAGGAGACTGGAATGCCAAGGTGGGAAGTCAAATGACAACTGGGATCACAGGCAAGCATGGTCTGGGAGAACAAAATGAAGCGGGACGCAGACTGATAGAATTTTGCCAGGAAAACTCGCTGTGTATAACGAATACTCTCTTCCAACAACCTAAAAGACGGCTGTATACATGGACCTCACCAGATGGTCAACACCGAAATCAGATTGACTACATCCTTTGCAGCCAAAGGTGGCGGACATCCATCCAGTCGGTGAAAACAAGACCTGGGGCTGACTGTAGCTCAGATCATGAACTTCTTATTGCCCAATTTAGAATAAAACTAAAGAGATCAGGGAAAATACACAGACCAGTTAGATATGATCTCACTAACATTCCTAGCGAATATACAGTGGAAGTGAAGAACAGATTTGAAGGACTAGATTTAGGAAACAGAGTCCCAGAAGAACTATGGACAGAAGTCCGCGACATTGTTCAGGAGGCGGCAACAAAGTACGTTCCAAAGAAAAAGAAAACCAAGAAGGCAAAATGGTTGTCTGCTGAGACACTGGAAGTAGCCCAAGAAAGGAGGAAAGCAAAAGGAAACAGGGATAATAAGGGGAGATATGCCCAGTTAAATGCGCAATTCCAGAGGTTAGCCAGAAGAGATAAGGAACTATTTTTAAACAAGCAATGCATGGAAGTGGAAGAAGACAACAGAATAGGAAGGACAAGAGACCTCTTCCAGAAAATTAGAAACATTGGAGGTAAATTTCAGGCAAAAATTGGTATGATAAGAAACAAAGATGGCAGGGACCTAACAGAAGCTGAAGAGATCATGAGAAGGTGGCGAGACTATACAGAAGATCTGTATAGGAAGGATAATAATATGAGGATAGTTTTGATGGTGTGGTGAATGAATTAGAACCAGACATCCTGAGGAGTGAGGTTGAATGGGCCTTAAGAAGCATTGCTAACAACAAGGCAGCAGGAGACGACGGGATCCCAGCTGAACTGTTTAAAATCTTAAAAGATGATGCTGTCAAGGTGATGGATGCCATTTGCCAGCAAATATGGAAACACAAGAATGGCCATCAGACTGGGAAAAATCAACTTATATCCCCATACCAAAAAAGGGAAATGCAAAAGACTGCTCCAACTTCCGTACAGTGGCCCTTATTTCTCATGCCAGTAAGGTAATGCTCAAGATCCTGCAAGGAAGACTCCAGCAATACATGGAGCGAGAGTTGCCAGATGTTCAAGCTGGGTTTAGAAAAGGCAGAGGAACGAGAGACAATTGCCAATATCCGCTGGATAATGGAGAAAGGCAGGGAGTTTCAGAAAAACATCTACTTCTGCTTCATTGACTATTCTAAAGCCTTTGACTGTGTGGATCATAATAAATTGTGGCAAGTTCTTAGTGGGATGGGCATCACAAGCCACCTTGTCTCTCTCCTGAGGAATCTGTACAAGGACCAAGTAGCAACAGTCAGAACTGACCACGGAACAGGAGACTGGTTCAAGATTGGGAAAGGCGTACGGCAAGGCTGCATCCTCTCACCCAACCTTTTTAACTTGTATGCAGAACACATCATGCGAGGATGTGCGGGGCTGGATGAATGCAAAGCTGGGGTGAAAATTGCTGGAAGAAACATTAACAACCTCAGATATGCAGATGACACCACTCTGATGGCCGAAAGCGAGGAGGAGCTGAGGAGCCTTCTAATCAAGGTGAAAGAAGAAAGCGCAAAAGCCGGGTTGCAGCTAAACGTCAAAAAAAACCAAGATTATGGCAACAAGAATGATTGACAACTGGAAAATAGAGGGAGAAAATGTGGAGGCCGTGACAGACTTTGTATTTCTAGGCGCAAAGATTACTGCAGATGCAGACTGTGGCCAGGAAATCAGAAGACGCTTCCTTCTTGGGAGGAGAGCAATGTCCAGTCTCGATAAAATAGTCAAGAGCAGAGACATCAGACTGGCAACCAAGATCCATTGCCTAGTCCAAGCCATGGTCTTCCCTGTAGTCACCTACGGATGTGAGAGCTGGACCTGAGGGAAGGCTGAGCGAAGGAAGATCGATGCTTTTGAGCTGTGGTGTTGGAGGAAAGTGCTGAGAGTGCCTTGGACTGCGAGAAGATCCAACCAGTCCATCCTCCAGGAAATAAAGCCCGACTGCTCACTGGAGGGAAGGATACTAGAGACAAAGTTGAAGTCCTTTGGCCACATCATGAGGAGACAGCAAAGCCTAGAGAAGGGAATGATGCTGGGGAAAGTGGAAGGCAAAAGGAAGAGGGGCCGACCAAGGGCAAGATGGATGGATGGCATCCTTGAAGTGACTGGACTGACCTTGAAGGAGCTGGGGGTGGTGACGGCCGACAGGGAGCTCTGGCGTGGGCTGGTCCATGAGGTCACGAAGAGTCGAAGACGACTGAACGAATGAACAACAACAAAGATCTTCCATAGGTGTTACTATTCTCTTGCGATCCCTCGCTGACATTGTAAGACAGCTATTTGTCCATCTAGCCCCTTATTCTGTTTTAGGAGATGTCAATTCTTCCAGCAACCTATGTAATGCATACCCCTTTTTCCTCATAATTTTCCAACTCCCCATTTGGGATGACAATTCCCAAAAGCATCAACCACCATGACTGGGAATGATGAGAGTTAAGTTCAAGAAATTGCATTTCCAAGCCTTGCAAATGAAATGGCTCTCTCTCTCAATTTCACTCTCAATAACGGCACTCGACCGCCCGTCCAGTTTTTGGCCCTTGAGTTGTGCAAATCCCTGGAAATATTCCAGGGAGAACACCATGAAAGCTGAACTCCCGGGGAAAACAGTCCAGGTTTCACACGGAAAGAAGTTTAATTTCCCAGATTCATTAACTTGAAGGAGGAAGAGGAGGTGTAGTTCACTCAGGAATGAAGTCCAGAGCTTTGAAATGATATCAGTTATCCTGGGTGCATCTCTGCTGTAGAACGAACGTGATTTGATGCCAAACTGCCCCTATGCTCTGGTATCCTGAGATCTGTAGTTTTACAAGACTCTTTTCTGCCAAGGAGTGCTGGTGCCAGAGAAGGGCCTGCTGTCCAAAGATGGAGAAGAGTGGAGTCTGGCACCTTTGGGCAGAAGAAACACAGAAATGCCATTCCTTGGGGAGAAAGAAAGAGGGGTCCCTCTAGGTTTGTGCAGAAGGAACACGGGGGGGGGGGTGTCCCTTGCTTTGGATAGAAGGAAAAGGGGTCCCTTTGGTTTGGATGCAAAGAAAAACAGGCCCTTGCTTTGGGTAAAAGAAAGGCAGAGGTGTCTCTTGGCTTTGAGTAAAAGCAAATGGGGTCCTTTTACTTTGAGCAAAAAGAAAAGGGGTCCCTTTGCTTTGGACAGAAGGGAAAAGGATCCTTTTGCTTTGGGTAAAAGGAAAAAGCGATCCTTTTGCTTTGGAAAAAAAGGAAAAAAGGGGCCCTTAGATTTTTTTTTCATGTCAGGAGTGACTTGAGAAACTGCAAGTTGCTTCTGGTGTGAGAGAATTGGCTGTCTGCAAGGATGTTGCCCAGGGGATGTTGCCCAGATGTGTTACCACCCTGTGGGATGATTTCCTCACGTCCACACATGGGAAGCTGGAGCTGACAGATGGGAGTTTACCCTGCTCCCTGGATTTGAATTGCAGTCCTGGCGGCACAAGGGTTCAACCTATTGCACCACTTAGAATAAAAGGCAAGGAGGTCCCTTTGCTTTGGGTAAAAGGAAAACGGGGTCCCTTTGCTTTGGATGAAATGGAAAGGAGCTCCTTTACTTTGGGTAAAAGGGCCTTTTGCTTTGGGTAAAAAGAAAAAGGTCCCTTTACTTAGAGTAAAAGGAAAGAGGTACATTTGTTTTGGGTAAAAGAGAAGAGGGGGTTTTACTTTGGATTAAAAGAAATGAGGACCCCTTGCTTTGGGTCAAAGGAAAAGGGGCCCCTTTGCTTTGGAGAGAAGGAAAAGGATTTGGATGCAAGGGAAAGGCAAGGGCCCCTTGGCTTTGGGGGGAAAGCAGGCAGAGGGAACCCCTTGCTTTGGGGGAAATGGAAACGGGCCCTTGGCTTTGGAGGGGAC